CTTGTCGGGACAGCGGCTTTAATGGACTGTATGTCAACGTTCGGGGTCCCGACGAAAGGGTTCGGAGAGTTCCTTGGAAAGAACTGGCTGCTGGTCAGTAGCCGTTTCGCCTCAAATCCTGGCGGGAACTCTTGTCCGAGACGGCTGGGAAACATCCATATCCAATTCCAGGGGATGGCCAAACGCAGCCTTCCAGTCAAGCTCGCCGCCAAGAAGCGTCTCAAGTGGACACACGGCTCAGGAGGAATGTGGAACTACTGTGAAGAGGACAAAGTCTACACCAAAGTCTGGTATACGGAGTACTATGACACGTGGTTCGACCCCGAATCGGGCTGGCCTCACCCAGTTGTATGGTGCCTGTCTGACTACTGGTGGGACGGAGACTTCTTTGTGGAAAAGTGGCGTTGGAAGTACCCGTGAAGGCCATTCCTGGGACTCCGACAGACTGAACCTCCTGGTGTCTGCGGTGCATGGGCCTGCGGCTTTTGGAGGACTCTCAGTCTCCCTCAATCTCTCTTGCATGTTCTTCAACGTTGTTGGTTGGCAAAAGACAAAGGTTATAAACATTCACAGCCATCTTGCGTCCTCCATACCTGTTTGAATTCAACCTTATTCCATATTTCTTGATATGCCTGGGGTGGGTTCTCACGGTTGGGTTCTCACTCTGCTTTGACAGTCCATTTTGTATGCCTCCGTATCTTCTGGGTTCATTGCGTGCTTGGGACATTCAGTTTTTATTTCAGACTCTCTTTCAGTACATATATCCGTCTTGGTTGCTACTTATGTTCAATGGGTTTCATGGGACTTAATGGAAGATTTCTTCACTTCTCACTTACTTCAGACCTTGGGACCATATGCCCTCAAGATTGGCTTCAAGAGTTTCTCAAGTCACTCAAGATATGGTTGATCAATTTGGGCATCCTCCATTACCTTGCATTACGTTTCTCATTTTTCTCATCTTCATTCAAAGCAAGAGAGACCTTGTGGTGGGATTCATTTGGGACATCGGACAGTCTGTCATTCAGGATTTCTTTCAGTATCATGGGTTTCAATCCTGGGCTGGGCTTCACCTTTCCTCCGCTTCCCGCCTCTCCTCCCGCTTCCCTCTTTCTCTACCGTACGCATTTGGCGTATTGGTGGCTTCTCAGGTTTGTGTTTTGGGAGAACCGACCTTTCAAGGCGCTTCATCATCATCATCATCAGCCAACGGCGTCCCGCCCGCGTGCGCGCCCGATCCCAGCGCCGACGAATGCCGTGGCCTCGCTCGCAGGCCCAGCGCACCGCGGGCCCAGCGACCTGGGACATGGCGCAACTGTGCCACATTCCTCGGGGCCGCCAGGCATAGTGGCGGCCGGGGCGTCAGGCTGGGCCCGATCGATCTCGCCCGCTTCTCCTTCGCAGCAGTCGACGACGGCCGCGTGCCTGGCCGCTGGCGCAACGGCGCGTGCAGGGTCCTCCGCCGTTCGGTTCCACACTGGCCAGCCGCCGCCGCCCCCGCGCTCGGCCCCCGTGCCGCCTCCCAGGGGTCGCGCGTGCTTTGGGGTTGCATTGCCAGACGCGGGAGGCGAGCCGCCCGCCGCCGCCTGGGGGTAGCCTTCCCTGGAGCGCAGCCAGCGAGCCCGCGGCGGAGCCTCTTCGCACGGGGGCCCTCGACTCCCCCCGCTGCCTTCGAGGGCAGCCGCCGACTTGGCCGCGGGCGCCCTCCGCTCGGTCCGCCCGCGCACGCAGCCGCCGGCCCCCGGCCAGGGCCCCCTCCGCGGGGGTTCGTCCTGCCAGGGCCTGGCCGGCGCCGCCGCCGCCTGCGCGGCGCGCCCACATGCTTCGGTGCACCCGGTGGGGCGATGGGCGCCGGCCCCCGGTGTCGCGCGGGCGCAGGGGGCAGCCGCGCCGCGGCGCGGGTCTGGCCCGCGGGCGGGCCTCGCCGCGCCAGCCTCTGACCCCTGGGATGCGGCCGCCTCCCAGGCTGCGCTACTGGCGGGCCCCCCCCTCATGTGCGCCGCCGCTTTGGATCCCGCTCCCTGCCGAGACCAGCCCGGCGGCAGTGCGGCGCGTGGGGCCTTTCCCGGGCCCCGCGCGTGGGGCGTGGGGCGGATGGCGCCAGTTCTACAACTGCCCCCCCGACCAAACGAGCCGCGAGGCCAAGGAGCTCGACGAGTGCATATAATTGGCGGGCTCCGCGAAGAGCTGCGACGTCCTGGGCCTCCTCAGCGCGGGCGCTTCCGCCCGCCCGCCGGGCCGCCCGTGGGGGCCCGCCCGTCGCAGCCGCGACCGCGGCGGTTCCAGCCGCGCGCTGTGGCGGCGTAGGGCCCTCGTTTCTGCGAGCTGCTCGGGCTCGAGCGGCCGGCGCGTTTTACCCCCCCGGCCTTGGCCGCCCATGCCTGCGCGCGATGGTGTCGGCCTTCGGTCGGGGAAACGTGAGACTCGAGTGAGCCGGAACTCGGTTTTGCCGACGTTCTTTTTGACGAGCGCGTCCTGGATTTTGACGGCTCAGTTTCCGTGGGATGTTTGCAGCGGGGGTTCGCGTCAAATTTCGGATTGGGTCTCGTGGTGCATATGATTGCGCCGTCAGGCCAACCCGAGTGCCCCCTGCCCGAGTCTTGCGTCTCCCCGATTCGGCGCGCCGGGCGACTGCCTCTGCCGTGGCCTGTCCTCCCCGCGGGGTTGTTGTCCTGGGGCTGGACTGAGCGCGGTGTCCTTGTTTGGAGTGTGGGATCTACGCCTGGCTCGTGTGCCTGGGTTGCGCGGCCTCCAATGCCCCCCGCGCTGCTGCTAGCCAGCCTTCTCGTGGCTACTGCAGCCGCGGCGGCCCCCGCCGCCGTTCCTGCGACGAGCGGCCCTCGGTGGGCCCGCCCGGCCGCCTCCCGACCAGGCCTACGCCGTTGGCGTCGATGACCTTGTCATCTGCCTCGCAGCGGCGTCGACCTATCGGTGCGGCCCCTCTCTCCGGCTTCGGGCGCGCATCTCAGGCTGGGCGCGAGGGCGTCAGGGCCAGTGGCTTCTGGCGCGGTGGTGCTGTTGACCCTCCTGGCGGCGTTGTGCTCCGTTGGCCACCCAGTGTCTCGGTTCCGCCTCTGACTCGGTCTGGCCGCCGCCGCTCCGCGCCGTCCTGCTCCTTGGCTCGCGACGCCAGCGAGGGGGGCCGCGGCGGGGTCCGCCCCCGCCGGGGATGCCCCAGATGCGACTGTTAGTGGTCCTCCGCGCCGCTTCGACTCCAGGCTGGACTGCGGCGGCAAGCGGGTCATCGGCGGACGCATCGCCCCCACAGCCCACCAGACAGGTTCCTAGGAGGCGGCTGCGCTGTGGCAGCCCCCCGCGCCTGCTCCCCTGCCGTGCGCGGGCTTGCCCCCCAACGGCGGATGCCCTTCGGCGCCGCCCGCCTCCCGCGGCTGCGGTGGCCGGGGATCCCGGCCCTCGGCCCGAAGGCCTGCGCCCTGGAAGCTGCGATGCGTCGCCGGCGGTGCCCCGCCCGCACCTCCGCTCCAGGCGCCTCGGACGCGGCAATCAGTGGCGGCTGCCCGACGTCGGGTCGCAGCCCGATCTCGCCTGCGAGCCATGCAGGCATTGCCACGCCGCCCCGAGCTTCATGGGGCAGGTGGCCTCCCCGGCCTTGATGCCTTCAGATCCTTTTTTCGAAGCCGCCGCGCCGCGCGCCGCCCGCCGTGCGCGCTGGCGTCGCCAGAGACGGCCCCGCCGGGAGGATCGCTGGCGCTGGGCCCTGGGGCGCTGCCTCGCCCCGGCGTGTTCTTCCGCCTTCTGCCCGCCCCCCGCGCGCTCTGATCGCCGGCGGCGTCCTCGCCGAGCTGATCGCTCGCCGCCTCCGCACCTGGTGCGGGCTCGCTGCGGCGTGGCTTCTCCCATCGCCCCGCGCCATGTCCTCCTCTTCGCGGGCGTGGGCGCAGCGACGAGGCTGCTTGGGTGTCCGCCGCTGCCGTCCTCCCTGCTGGCCCGGCCCCGCCTTGCTCCAGGGCTTTGCGATTCTCGCGCGCCCCGCCCGTCTTCCTCCCTTGCGGCGGCCCGTTTGGAGGCGGCCGCCTGCCGCTGCCCCGGGCTCTTGTCGCCCGTCTGGCGGCCCGCCCTGCCGCCGCTGCTCCGCCTGGCGCCCCCTGGCGCTCTGCCGCTCGCTGCCCCCCCCGCCCCGCCGCCGGCCCCCGCCGCGGCTGCTGCTCCGCCTGGCCTCGCCGCTGCTCCGTGAGGGCCCGGCCACTTTCCTTTCTCCGCCAGCGCGCTTGCGCTTGCGGACATGCTGCTCGGCCAGTGGCGTGACCTGCCCGCGACGCTGAAAGTTGCGCGTGTCTCTCCACAGCACGCTCTGTTTTTTGGTGTGCATGCCCTCTATTGTCCATCGCGCCATGTTTTTGGGTGAACAGGCCCTCCGCTCCGCCACCCATCGTTTGCATTCCAGTGTTCGGCGTCTCTTTTCACTTTGCTTTCGACTACGCTCGATTTCAATTCGCTTTTCCATCTGCTGCCCGCGGCTGAGGAACTTCTGCGCCGTTGACTTAAACAAGTGTGTGTCTGTGGTGCTGGCTGGTGGGTCGTCCTTCCCCGTTTGTCCCGCCGTCATGCGTCGCTCCTCTGCTCTCTCCTTGCTCGTGCCTCCGGCTGTCGCCGCGGGGGTCGTCCTCCTCCCTCGGTCGTCGGGTCGATGCTGTCGCTCCCCCCGCTTCCGAGCTGCACCGCCACATGCGTGAGAAACTCCGCGGAGAGCGCGTTCTGCACTTCGATGCCGAGGAAGAGGAGGCGGAGGAGGAGGAGGAGGAGGAGGAGGAGGAGGAGGAGGAGGAGGAGGGATGATAGGGGGCGTGGAGCAGGATAAGGACATGGGGGCGGAGTGCAGAAGACGCGCAAGCCTCAAGGCAGGCGAGGACACCCTGTCGCTGCCCCTGCAGTTGCTCCCTCCTTTCTTTGGCGTGGATCTCCATGTCGTGGGACTTGTTGCCCCCGAGGCTCCGATGCCCCGAGGAGGATTCGGGGGCGGGAGGAGTGGGTGACGCACCAAGGCTGGACGCCCCACTGGCTCACGACTATCCCGCGGCTGCCAGCGTCGCCAAGGCGGGCCGCCCCCCCCCCTCCAGTTTTGTCCCCCCTTTGCGCCCCCTGGCCTCCCTTCTGCTCGGCTCCTTTGCCTTCCCTCCTCTTCCTACTCATCCCTTCCCGCCCACCTCCTCATCCTCATTCTTGCCCTCTCTCTCTCTCCCTGAAAATCATTGAAGTCACGATCCCAGAACACCTGGATCCCGATCCAAGTGTGCTGGGATTCGAGAGCACTTGGATCACGATCCCAGTGTGCTGGCAGGAGAGCCCCGAAAGAGAGTCCCAGAAGAGAGAGCCCCAGAGGAGAGCCCCAGAGGAGAGCCCCGGAGGAGAGCCCCGGAGGAGAGCCCCCGAGGAGAGAGCCCCAGAAGAGAGCCCCGGAAGAGAGCCCGAGAAGGGAGCCCCGGAGGAGATTCGGAGAGCGGAGTCCGAGATGAGAGTCCGCGCTGAGAGCCGGCGAGAAGGATTGGGAGAGGAGAGTCGGCGAGGAGAGTCGGCGGGAATGTTTGGGAGAGGAGGGCCAGCGAGGATAGTCGGCGAAGAGGGCCGGCGAGGAGAGCCGGCGAGGAGGAGTCGGAGAGCAGAGATATCGGCGAGGAGCTTCAGCGAGAAGGATTGGGAGCGGAGAGTCGGCGAGGAGGGTCGGCGAGGAGGAGTCGGCGAGGAGAGTCTGCGAGGAGGAGTCGGCGAGGAGAGTCGGCGAGGAGGGTCGGCGAGGAGGAGTCGGCGAGGAAGAGTCCGCGAGGAAGAGGTTCGGCGAGGAGAGTTTGCGAGGAGATTCGGCGAGGAGAGTCGCCCCGGATCGAGGCAACGCGTAAAAGAATGTCGATAATTCTCCGCCTTATCTCGCCCAGACGATATAGGACGATATGAGAAGATACTGCGATACAAGCTGTTATGACGGCGTAAGACAGCATATGCCGATACATGGCGATCAACGAAACACCCGCAATCACCATAAACATTCAAAACGCCATTCTCCTCTCAGACTCTCCTCGCCGACTCTCCTGTCCGACCTGCGTCTCCGACTCTCCACGCCGAGTCTCTTCGCCGACTCCTGTTTGACCTCCTCGCCGACTCTCCTCGCCGGCTTTCCTCGCCGACTCCTTCTCGCCGAGTCTCCTCGCCGACTCTCCTCTCGGGCTCTCCTCGCCGAGTCTCCTCGCCGACACTCCTCGCCAGCTCTCCTCTCCGACTCTCCTCTCCGCTTCTCCGCTTCGGCTCCACTCTGACTCTCCCCGCCGCCTCCTCCTCGCCCACCCTCCTGTCCGACTCCTCCTCGCCGACTGTCCTCGCCGGCTCTCCTCGCCGGCTCTCCTCTTGGATCCGCCTCTCTGGCCTCCGTTGGGTCGCGATCCCTTCTCTTGGCTGCGGGAGCGCTCTCTGGAGCAATTTTAAGGAACCTGGTGGGTTCGGGCCTCGGGCCAGCCCAAGGCGCGGCGCGCCTCTGAAACCCTCAGGGGTCACGATGGAAGTGCTCCTGGGGTCGTGATTTCGGGAACTTCCCCTCTCCCCCCCTTCCCTTCCCCTGCTCCCTCTCCTCCTCTGCCCCCCCCCTCGTCCCTTCCCCCCCTTTTCCCCTGCTCCCTCTCCTCCTCCAAGTGTTCCTGGGTCTCCCCCTCCCCCCCTCCTCTTCCCCTGCTCTCTCCTCATCCTCTCGCCCTCGCTGCACCCCTCCCCTGTCCCCCCCCTCCGGTTCCCTCTCCCCTCCCCCTGCTCCCCCCTCCCCTCGTCGCCTCGCCTTCTCGATGATGACGATGATGTTGTTGATGATGATGATGATGATGATGATGATGATGAGGATGACGATGACGATGACGATGACGACGATGATGATGACGGTGGTGGTGGTGGTGATGATGATGATGCTGCTGATGATGATGATGGTGGTGGTGATGATGATGACGATGACGATGACGATGATGACGATGACGATGGCGATGATGATGATGATGATGATGATGCTGGTGATGGTTGGTGATGGTGATAGTGATGGTGATGGTGGTGATAATGATGATGATGAGGATGAGGATGAGGATGAAGATGATGATGCTGATGGTGATGATCATGATGTTGATGATGATGATGATGATGATGATGATGATGATGATGATGATGGTGCTGGTGATGATGATGAGGATGATGATGCTGATGATGATGCTGATGGATGATGGATGGATGATGATGATGATGATGATGATGATGATGATGATGATGATGATGATGATGATGATGATGATGATGATGATGATGATGATGATGGTGATGGTGATGGTGATGGTGATGGTGATGGATGATGTGATGATGATGATGATGATGCTGCTGATGATGATGATGATGAGGATGAGGATGATGGTGATGATGATGATGCTGATGATGATGATGATGGTGGCGGTGGTGGTGATGATGTATGATGATGATGATGGTGATGGTTGCCGATGGCGATGGCGATGGTGATGGTGATGATGATGATGATGATGATGATGATGATGATGATGCTGGTGATGGTTGGTGATGGTGATAGTGATGGTGATGGTGGTGATAATGCTGATGATGAGGATGAGGATGAGGATGAAGATGATGATGCTGATGGTGATGATCATGATGTTGATGATGATGATGATGATGATGATGATGATGATGATGGTGCTGGTGATGATGATGAGGATGATGATGCTGATGATGATGCTGATGATGATGGTAGTGATGATGGATGATGGATGATGATGATGATGATGATGATGATGGTGATGGTTGGTGATGGTGATGGTGATGGTGATGGTGATGATAATGATGATGATGATGCTGCTGATGATGATGATGATGAGGATGATGATGGTGATGATGATGATGCTGATGATGATGATGATGATGATGATGATGATGATGATGGTGATGGTTGCCGATGGCGATGATGGTGATGATGATGATGTGATGATGTTGATGATGATGATGATGATGATGATGATGACATGATGATGCGATGATGATGATGATGATGATGACGAGGATGAGGATGAGGATGAGGATGAGGATGATGATGATGATGATGATGATGATGATGATGATGATGATGATGATGATGATGATGATGATGATGATGATGATGGTGGTGGTGGTGGTGGTGGTGGTGGTGATGATGATGGTGATGATGATGATGATGATGATGCTGATGATGATGCTGATGATGATGATGATGATGATGATGATGATGATGATGATGATGGTGGCCATGGTGGTTAGGATGCTGATTATTTCCATGATGATTTTTGTCGTGATGGGTCCGATGACTGGGACCCGCGTTGACCGCTGGCTTGAAGCCTCTGGCGCCAGCGGCCTCGGCGCGTGACAGCCACGCTGCGACTGCTCGCAGCAGGGCGGGCGCCGCCCACCGACCCCGCGGGGGCTGGAACGCGCGCCTCGGCGGCCAGAGGCGGCCGCACCGCGGCGGGCGCCTGGGGCCGCGGAAACCCGCCAGCCCGAGCCGACGTCGGGCAAGCGGCAGCGCCACAGCAGATGCCGCGCGCACACAGCGGCACCGCGTCTCGCGACCTGTTTGCCTCCAGGGTGCCCTGGGTTTCTTGGGTTTCGATGGTTTTGCCATGGAAAGCTTGGCGTTCCCACACCGAAGATCAAAGGGACGCCTTGGGGTTTCAGGTTTGGGTTTCCTGTGAAAGGTTTCTTGTGGTCGAGCTCCTGCTGTACCCTGACCAGGTGGCGGAAGGATCAAGGTACGAGTGCTGATGCTCTGGTGGGGCGAGGCCCTCTACCAGGGAAGGGGTTCCAGGGGAGGGGGGGAGCGCGCCTGGGCTGCCCTGACACGACCGCTCCCCCCCCCCCCCCTCAAGACAGCTCCCGGTGCGGGCCTTCAAGTGCCGAAAACGACAACAAATCGCCCCGTCGTGATTTTTTAGCAACGCAAAGGGGGTCTGGGAAGAGAAGTCCAAGACGGCTCCGAGACGGTCGAGGAGCGCTCCAAGCGAGCCCACGACCGCTCAAGGCCGCCCCGACCAGGCCTGGCCAGGGCTGGCCAGGAGGGGTCGGCCAGGGAGGGCTGGCCTGTGATGGTTCGTCGGCAGGTACACTCTGTCAGCCACGCGCAGAGGGGGGTGGGGGGAGGGGGGAGGGCTTCTTAGAAGCACCCCTGCTTCTTAGAAGGCGCGGGCCTTACATCTATAGATAAGGCCCACGCCTTCTAAGAAGCAGCCTGCTTCTAAGAAGCCCTCCCCCCCCCACCCCCCTTGTGCGCGCTGCCAACTCTGGTCGTGGAAAGCAGGTATCCAGATTACTTCAGGCGCCTTCCTGCTTTCAAAGAAGGAAGAAGCACCCCGAGCCCGATGATCGGCGTTGACTCAGTGGCCCCTGGGCGTGTACTAGCAGCCCTGCCTTGTTCGATTCCTTCTTTGGGTGCGTCTACTGAGCGGCTTCGCTTGTCGGGGTGTTTATTATGAGGGTGGCTTTTCTGCTCTCTATACTTCAAGAGTCGAGCGGTATTCCCTCTTCCCTCCTCTTCAGGGGGCGAGCGGAAACCCGATCTGCTTCCAGCGCCTTTCTATACCATGTCTTTACCCACTTCTTCCGACCGACGGGTAGCGCTTTCCACCACGGATCTCCAGGCCTCCCAGATGGGGCCCGAGCAGGTGGGGTCAGAGGATCGCGCCGCATCGCCGATGCATCGCCGATGCGGCTTGATGTGGAGCCGGATTTTCTCCGCGCTGACGTCGCCGATGCGCTGCCGATGCATTGCCGATGCGGCTTGATGCGGAGCAGGATTTTCTCTGCGCTGGCGTCGCCGATGCACCGCCGATGCATCGGCGATGCGGAGCGACCCTCCGACCGCATCTACAGTCGAAACCGATGGTAAGGATTGTCACCTTCCTAAGGGTACCCTTGCATCCTTGCCCCTTCGGTCCATCCTTGCCCCACCCCCCCCACCCTCCCCCATGGAGTAGATGTTGCCTGTTTTTGGCGCCTGTTTCGGGCAGGTGGACTCTCCCCCATAGGACGCACTGTTGCAA